TTTTTTGTCTCGTTTCCTTCATGAGAATATTTATAGAGCAATAATCCTGATAACAGAATTGTCATTTGAATAATAAACTCTCTTTTGTTTTTGTGACAGACTTACAAGTTGAGAAAAACCTCTTCTTTAATTATTAATGAAATTACCACCATTTATCAATGTAAGGTACTAAAGAGTTCCATATAATATAATGTTATGACATATCTGCATATATATTGACAGTCTAATAATCGGGCATGACATCAATAAAAAAACATGAATTGTTTCAAAAAATTATTTTGAAATCAGCATGTTTTGGCTATAATTTTATTCTTTAATCTGTGGAACTTTAACAACTGGACAACAAATTCAAAACAACCACTAACATCGATGAACTGGAATCTTTGGAATCTGATTTATCAAATTAATTGTATGATTCAATATACAGGGTGCTTCAAAAAAATGTATACACACTTTGAACTTCCATAGAAAATCTATTTACCGTTCTACAAAGTTAAATTTCTAGAAAATAGAAAGCTGAAAGTCCAATGGAAATGAAACATAAATAACAAATGTTAATACTGTTCAAATTGGTGACCTGCAGCATCAATACAATTCTGAGTACGAGTCACCACTGATTTTGTACATCACAAGGTTGCAATTTTGTGAATGGATTCAGGAGATGGTGAAACGTGAATCGGGATTTATGAGTAGCATCATTTAGCCTCGCACTATCACAGGGATGTACAACCTTACCTGGATCAAAATTTGTCGGGCCAGTGGATAGGATGCAGGGGTCCAATCGAGTTTTTAGCACGCTCTCCAGACCTCACACCACTGGATTTTTTCTTGAGGGGCACAGTAAAAGATGAGGTGTACAAACGTAAACCATGTAATCTAGACATTCTTTGGAATGAGATTCAAGCAGTGTGTAGAGAAATCTCATTGGATATTATGATACGATGTACAGAATCAGTGGTGACTCGAATTCAGAATTGTCTTGATGCTACAGGTCACCAATTTGAACAGTATTAACATTTGATATTTAGGTTTCATTTACATTGGACTTTCAGCTTTCAATTTTTCTGAAATTTAACTTTGTAGAATGGTAAATATATTTTCTATGGAAGTTCAAAGTGTGTTTACATTTTTTTTGAAGCAGCCTGTTTAAAAATATATACATATATACATATATATATATATATATATATATATATATATATATATATTAGAGCTTTGAACAAAGAATCCAAGAAGTAATGAAAAATAAGTTTTTTAAAAAAACATTTCTTTATACATGTACTGTCGACGTTTCGGAACTTGGTACGTTCCATCTTCAGGACATTTGTCAAGAAACATCATCTTGATAAGATTTAAGCAAACAATATGTTGAAGAAAAGCAGAAGATGGTGGATGTTTTATATAAAATGAATAAAATTGTGGAAAAAATAATGTACTGAAATATGACAATATAATCAAAATGAAAATGATAAGAATAAATGAGTGGATTATATAACAAAATATTAAAAAATTTGGATAGTTATAGAAAGTTTTAAGAAAAGATTACTGAAAAAACAAAATTAATTACCTGTATGATCGATTTTGCACTAACACTGTTTCACTAAAAAAGATTTTATCAAAAAAAATGATTTTATAAATTTCTTTTCAGACGAAGAAACAAATTTTGCAATTCAAACTTTCTTTATATTATGTCTTTTTTGAGTTTGTTATGTGACACAAAAAATCTTTAAAATCCTTTTGTTCAATCATCAGTTTGTTACCCATAGTCATCTCATAACATCGAGGGAATAATACTTTTTGTCTCACATAACAAATTAAAAAAAGACATAATTTAAAGAAATTTTGAATAACAAAATCATCTTCTGCTTTCCTTAAATATATTGTTTGCTTAAATCTTATCAAGATCATGTTTCTTGACAGATGTCCTGAAGATGGAACGTTCCGAAACGTCGACAGTAAATAAATAAAGAAATGTTTTTTTAAAAAACTTTTGTTTTTCATTACTTTTTCGATTCTTTGTTTGAAGCTCTACAAAATATTTGCAAATTCAAGACTTTACCATCTAATATATTTATATATATATATATTATATATATATATATTATATATTAAATGTTAAATATGAACAATGCAACACGCAGATTTTTAACACACCTTTATTTAATAATTACAGACGTTTCGAGACCATGGTATGACTCATCTTCAGTGTAATTTCAAGAACAGTTACTTATATATACTTTTTGAAATTACTCTGAAGATGAAGCATACCATGGTCTCGAAACATCTGTCAATTATTAAATAAAGGTGTGTTAAAAATCTGAGTGTTGTATTGTTCGTATTTAACATTTAATATTCGTTCCACTCATATCACAAAATTTTATAATATATATATTATATATATATATATATATATATTGTTGAAGCCAACTTTTAATAAGATACCTTCAAAAATCAAAAATAAATTTAAAAATGTCAAACAACACTATACTTACTGGACAATTAACAATAAGTTTTATGTTAGAACCTTGTTTTTAATCAGTTTTTCATTATATTTTCCAGTCGGTCTACAGATCACATGCATTACATACTTACTCTTTAGTAAAAAGTTGTTCAGTTGATAAAATTGTGAAAAACAACTGTATAAATAGCGGTTTTAATATGTACTGCATCACCATATCCTCACAATATGGATTATAGTCCAGTCGTTATAGTAAGATTACCTCGGAATTCGAAAAACCCAGCTGTAAGTCTGTAAATACTTGTATATTGACACCCTAAAGTTGTCTCAAAACCTACATATGGTATTGACACCTACTGGGTACTGCTGGCTATCTCAAATTCCGAGATTCTTACTTAATTTAAGCTTAAATGACTGGACCTTTATTATTTTTTCTATTGTTAATCTTAGGATGGGCAAATTGTAAGTACTATTTACTTCTAGTTTTCAAACATATTATTGCATATGTTAGACTTTTCAATTATTTTAGTTCAACTGAATCAAGTCAACGTATATGTATGGATTTTTTTCTTTTTTTTTTTTTAGATAAAAACATGATTTTTATTGATGTAAAGCCTGATTTTTACACTCTGTCAATACATATGTCAACATCGAATTTAGAATATTATAACATGCATTTAAATTATAATTATGCCTAATATTTTAGGACATGCACATAGTTATTTCTCTACTAAAGAGCAAATTTCGATGATATAAAATTCTGTTCTCACAATGTCATTGTCAGAAGAAATTGTATTACCTTCTGGTAGCAGTTTAGATTATACTTTGGAATATGGAAGCAATACCGAGATTGATAAACCAAATACAATAAACGACCGCGAGGCCGCCAGTCCAAAGTTATTGCAAGTTTCAACTATAGGAAAAGTAAGAAATGAATTAGATATTTTCTTATCAATATATACTAAATACTAATTTTAATATTGTTTATGTTATATTATTAAATAATTATTATATTAATTGATGTGCGTGCCATTCTGGTTCATTCACTATGAACAGCAACATAAAATTTTTGCAGATTTTGCAGATCAATTTTTTTTCTCAAAACCAAAATTTCACAGACCAAAAAATTTTTCAGTGACTATAATAAGTAATAATATCTGGACTCAGTAGGCTATAAAGATTTTATTTTATTAAATACCAAACTTAAGTGTTAACTTTCTGAATTCTCATGTTGATTAATTTCATATTTGTAATTTACAAGCTGGTATATAAAAAATATTAAATTTTCAGGATAGCTTTAATGATAGCCCATTGCAGCTGTCTGACTCAGAAGCAGAAGATGATCCTTTGCCATGTATTGAAGAAGAACATATTGAATCGAATTGTGATCCTGGTGATAATACACAGAACGGTATGTTATTTTTACATATATATATATATATATATATATTATATATATATATATATATATATATATATATTTGAAGTATTTTGCTGTCCAATCATCGAATTAAAAAAACATTAAAATAGAAAAAAAAATTATTCTATTAAACGTTTTGACACTTAATGTGTGTCATCATTCAGTAATCTATAAAAACATATTACATAAATAACAATAGTTGATATTACATATAAAAAGGAGAAAATTATAAATATCAAATCAGGAAAAACAAATTATATAAAACAAAAAAAAATTATATAAAATGTATTAAACACTAAACTTTTTTTTAATTTGACGATTGGGCTGCAAAATACTTGTAATTGATTGTTTCTTTTTCGAACAGTAATATAACAATTATTGATAGTAATTACATCAATACAAACGAGCTTAGGCGCCAAAAACCTGCCAAATAGTTGCCGAATATTCGGTATTCGGTCTCTGGAGCATGCCTACATATTTATTCAAATTTTATGCCTAGGCTTACAACCACTATTCGGCTACTCTTTGCTATTTGCAGTATTTGGCACCATTTATACTATTCGGCCGAATACCGACCAATTGAATACCACATGTGATATGAAAAAAGCGATTATTTACATATATGTAAATGTATTTCGAATTATTTCTTTCATGAAATCAATATTAGGAATGCTAATCATAATAAAATAAATAAAAAAAGATAAAAAAATTTGTTTGTATATTTTGCGATAAAGAGCCAATAATAGCTCTTTTTCTTGGAAATGCTTAGGTTGAGAATAATAAATGACTTTATTGTATTGATACTGCACTTTTGTGTAACCATTAAATGATTCTATTAAATAATATAAACATGTAACAATAAAGTATCTTGTGAATATTCAGAAAAAAGTTCTTCACGTATTCATTTGTAACCTCAAAAGTCGATAAAGTTTAAATTATTATCTATACAATAACGAATTCATTTCTTCCTACCATATGATGAAAACTAAACTTTATTGAATGAAAGATAAAACACCAACAATGCTGTGGCTGAGCGGCGGCGGCGCCTTTGATTTTAACTATTCGGTATTCGGCCGAATATGCCTAATAGGAATATATATATATATATATATATATATATATATTAGGGTGGTCCTGAATTTGGACATTTTTCAATTTACTTGCTCCCAAAGGCTCAAATGGTTCTAAATTGATAAAAAACAATTCTCTGAAAGTTTCAGCTCTTAATATTAACTTTTAGATAGTGCGCAATTCAATCAAACTTCGTATGGAAATAGCATGAAAAAAAAATTAAATGAAGAATGATAAGATCATTGGCATCATACAATCGTTTGGCATTCCAATATGATCCCACTGCGAACTACAGTGATGAGGAAAATTTTGATATTGGACCAATGACGACCATATGCCAATGTAATTTGAATCCACCGCAACTTTGCAACGGTACTCAACTTTCGGTAAAAAGACTTATTCGGTAAAAAGATTTATGCCGAATTTGATTGAAGCAACCAATATTAATAAATAAATATAATTAATAAATTCACTACTGTTGTGAAATGAAATAAATTTTTTCCTTTTCAAATATAAAACAAAAAATTTTTTTTTCTTCATCTTTTAATCACCAAACGAAATGTTACATAAAACGAAACCATCTGGTGCCGAAACGGAGTTCGCCGGATTTGCTAGTATATATATATATATATATATATATATATATATATATATATATATATATATGATTCGGGCAGTAACACCAAATAAAAAAACTAAAGTAGTTGCGAAAAACTCTATTTAACCATACGTTTCGGTAAAGTTAATTATACTAAAATACACTACACTATTTACACAGTAATAAACCAAGCTATTAATAATTGGGTCCATTTATTAAAAGCTAGGTTTATTACTGTGTAAATAGTGTAGTGTATTTTTGTATAATTAATTTTCTGTAAGTATATATATGAGTTATATAACTTTATATCATTTTCCTTCTACATTATTATAAAATCTTTAAGTTTGTTCCACAGAATGACGGTCTCCACGAAGACTACTTTAGTTTTTTTACTTGGTGTTACTGCCCGAATCAAAATAACTCATCAAAATATATATCAACACCAAATTCACATACTTCAATACATATATATATATATATATATATATATATATATATATATATCATGATACCACATATAATTTTTAGATGGTGTAGAACCTAATAAAGTCGACAATAGTCACTCACTTGTAGAAGAACCAATTATTTCTAACCATTCTACCAATAAAGTAACAGAAGTAGTAATAGCCGAAACAAATATGAAATCTCTTGTGGAGGAAAATGGAAATAATGTGGAAAATAATAAAGTAAATGAACAAATCATTCATGATGTTCACAATGTTTACGAATCACAAAACTCTGTAAATATAGAAGGTAAGGATGTCATATCATCAAATGAATCAAAGGAACAAAAAGCTGACGACACAAATATTTTATGTTCGGAATCAATAACAGATTCCAAATTGCTTGAAAAAGAAATATTGGATTCGAATGATTCAAGCAATCATGCAACTACAGGTGGCGACTTAGATTCTAACCTATCTGATAAGTCTGAACCTAAGCAATCAGATCGTACAGAATCTACCAAAGATATAGAAAATGTAAGCATGAATGGTAGTTCTGAAACGAATAACGTTAATATGGAAACTAATTTTCTATATTCTGATGGCGTTGAAAATGATCAAAATGGGAATTCTGATAATGTAAGTGAAGAGTTTTTGTCTCCAGAAGAGAATGAAAATGAATGTTTTGATCAAACGTTCGACGCAAATAATTTATTGGAAGCGGTTGATACCAACTCCGCAAGTGCGAATAATAATTTAGTCAATAATTTTCTTATGGAGAAGCAGAATGAAATAACAAATGGTGAGGTTAATTCATCAGAATCTACAGTTATTTCGAACCAAAACAATATAGATGAAAATGGCTTTCAGGAGCAAAATGAATCCAATAATGATTCAATGACTGAGGTTGAATTCACAGAATTGGTTACAACTTCACAAGGTAAATTATCACTAATTGCTTTTAAATGTCTAAATTTAGAAATATTTTATAATTATGTATCAAATATATTAAGCTAGATAGGTCAAGACGCGCATATTTTATGAAAACAATTTATAAATGTCATTTATTTATTTTAATCAAGTATGTGAACGAATCAAAATATTACACAGAAATTGCTAACCGAAACAAAAGTTTAAATTTCAATTTTTGAAATAAATAACTAAATAAGTAATTCAGTTATTTATTTGCACAAAATTATTTAAAATTAGTTTATCACATTGCTTAGTCTATTACCTATTTATTAATTTCTTTAAAATGCGATAATGACATCGGAATTTGGAAACGAAGATACATTACCTACAAATGAGTACCACAACAAAGGTCATTATTTCTTATTTAAAAAATTATATCTATATATGATATTGAATATGATAATTTGCGATCTTACAAAAAGTTCTTTTTTACGATCTTACAAAAAAACGCATAAAATTCATGCCTCTGGACCAGAATACACCCTTAAACTCATTGAAAACGATTTGTCAAATCAGAGGTTTTAGTTTCAAACAGTTTGAATCGTTTACATAGTTAAAGGATTATTATATTAGATTAAAACAGAAGCGGACATCGCTTCTGAACGTAAGACGCTCTTAGGGTTAAATATTGTACCTGTATTATTCAAAATCGCTAATTATAATAATTTATTTCACATAGTAAACTATTAGCATGAAATTGTCTACTAACTATGATGATTTTATTTCTAAAGGTGGAAATGTTTATGATGATTTTCATTTCTAGAGGTGGAAATGACTTCTAGACAGGCAAAGCGTACAGGAGATGATGAGTTGACCGATGAAGATTCTTCCTCTAACAAAAGAATGAAAGTTGACGATACTATCAGCATTGAAGATGATGATGAAACACGGTCGACCACAAAAACTGATGAGAGCGATGAAAGAATAAAACGCAGGCGCGGTAGAATTGAGCGTGTTTTCAAAACATATGATTTAATGCGAGATAGTCTGGTCGGGATGTCCCGCGAGGATATGGAATGGTTTGTAGCAGGAAAAATTGTCGATGCAATCGATGCAGGAAGTGATTTGCAACGCGCGCGCGACCTCATCGATGGTTTGCAACGTCGTGTAAGCAAACTTGAATCGCAGCTTACAATTGCCACTAAACATGTAAAAGACCTTGATTTCTTGCACGGTAAGTGCATGTCAAGTATAAATATGGCAAGATTGCGAAATGGTCAATTACTCGCTCATCCTCACTATGTAACTAGGTATGCAAAATTTTTGATACAGACTTTAATCATTGCAGTAAATAATATAAATTATTTTCAACTTCAGATCTGTAGGTTTGCAGGTTTGTATAACGGGAAGCTCAATAGTAAATTTCAACCCCAAAAGATCTAATAAAAATAATGATGATACTGCGGATACAAATCAGCAATCGCTAAACTCTCAAAAACAGGTAAGATTTGCATTCGTTACCTTTTTAACTCCCTGTAGGGTAAGTTATAGTAATCGCAAAAAATCGCAAATGAAAATATTTGCATATCTTCACGTTTTGAAGATTGCTGAACATTTTGATATACCTTAGAAAGAATTATGTATGTGTGTGTGTGTGTATGTATGTGTGTGTGTATGTATGTGTGTGTGTGTTGTGCACGAATCAATCGATTTCAATTATTCAAAAAACATTTGATTCCTATTGATGAGAAGACTGATTAGTTTTTGGTGGAGACAAGCAACCAAAGATACGGGGCAAAAAGTGCCAAAAACGGTAATTCAGTTTTTGAGAGAACGAAGTACTTGATTTGATTGATTCAAAAAACATTTCACTTGTATTTTGACGAAATGAAGAATTGATGAAGTTTTTTGTAAGGCAGGTGTAGCGGTTTCGGAGATACAGAGGAAAAAGTAACAAAAAAATGATATTTGGCGGTTAAAAATGATCATTAGGCATATGCACATCAAATTATTAGATATTTAATAATAATTTTAAAAATGAGTACTAACTTTGTTACTTTTTGTTGGGTTCCGTACTAAGATTGTTAATAAGATTACTTATACGGTTCAAGCCAATTTCAAAATTTTTAGAAAAAAGGTGTTTTCAAAAATATACAAAGTTTTATACTTCAAATATGAATTTTAAATTTCAATTCAGTTTGAAAAGGTATATATTTTAAATGCGTTTTTCTATTCGTAAGAAATTCTCAGATGGATTTATTAGGCAACTCTTACTAATGTAAAATTTCTCAAGTGTTTTGAGCGATAAAACCGTCACTGTATATTTTATGAACGATAAAATATATAGTGATTATAATTATCTATTTGAAAATGTTTAAAACAATTGTTATTAATCATTGATTAATATTCATTGATTACAGATTTTTTTCCTCGAATATTTAATACTGTTACGGTAATTTCCCGGCACGATGCCATGCCCGACTAGTTTATAAATTTATTTAGCTTCCTATTTCCAAATGAGCAATTTACATGATTTCTATTACATTATATTCTATAATTTAATATTTACAGTTATATACAATATTCTACGTGATAATAATTTTATATACATTACATTATATTTTTTTAACAAAGCAAGCTAGTCAAAATAAATACCTTCTTAATATTTAATTTGAATATCTCGTTTAAAAATATATATCTCTGAGATATATATTTTTTACACTTTAAAATCAGATGCTGCAAATTTCCTTCAAAATCGTCACATGAGCATTTACTGACGTTTTTCATTTTTATTTTATAGAGATGTGAAAAGAAACATCCGTGATTGAATCTTAATTTACACATTATAATTGATTCTTTCTTGATTCATTTTTTAATCGCCCATATACTTTTAATTCGCTAATATTCTGGCTTTACTCAATTTGTTTTATGCCCATACATTTATTTCATTATTTTATTTTTTGACAATAGGTAAAGCAACCAAATCAGTCGCAACCAAAGGAAACGACATTGACTAACAACCAGATAAATTCAAATACTGCCACTCCTCCATTGCCAGTAAAATTAATAAAGAATCTTACTGCTCTTACAAATACTTCAAATTCAAGAGGTGATGTCACTATTGTAGATCTCACAGCAGAAGAAGAGGAAAATTCTATGAGCAAAAAAAGTAAGCTATTTATATTTTTAAAGTTTTGTTTAATTGTGATGAATTTTACAATAATTATTTTGATCAGATTTCAATTCGAGGTTGGGGTCAATAATATTTTTGGGTTTAGTTTTTTTTTTATTTTATTAATATAGGAAAATTAAGATATCGAATTTATGTATAATTCACGAGAAATGTCAAATACTAGTTTTTGTTAGTATTGGAGGAAAAAAGTGTGGTTGAAGAAAAATTTGAGTTCGATCTTCGCAAAACCTAATGCAATTGCATTTTTCTAATTCTATTGTAAACTGTAAACGTTCATTCATTGATTTGGTTTATTCTATGAGAAAGGAAATCGACATATCGATAATAAACCAGATATAAGTAGCATTTTGCCTTAAGATGGATTTAATTATTAAGAAGTTAGATTCAGCTATTCAGAAATTGTCAATAAAATTTTAACTGTAGTGAACAATTACGCATTTGTATGTCTTAAGAGCACCTCATTATTATAAAATTTGAAGCATTTTGAAGAATTTACAAAATTTTTTTTGGAAATTCAATTGCTTTACGTGGGACTCTAATAATTTAAGATGTTTGTTCAGATCTCTATAGACATATTAAATTTTATTGAAATTGCAAAAAATAACATTTAATTGAGAAGAAACGGTTCGGCGCCATTCTTTGCCAAAATCTAATTCCACGATTCCCATATGATATATTTCTAACGGTTTTTAAATATTCAAAATCTCTATAATCTATCAGGATTATTTTTGAAAACGTGAATCAAAACTTTTGTACTTTTCTCCAAATTATAAGGAAACGTCCAGGTTGATTGTCAGAAAAACTAAACGAGTTTTTTTGAGTTACATGACTTAATGAAACGAATGACTTAATGAAACGAATGACTTATTTTTTTTAAATCACTTCAGCCGTTTTTGAGAACGTCGTCTAATGGTCAAAAATCGGCTCACTTATACACACATTATTTTCCCAATTTTGTCTCAAACTATTAAGAAAGACTTGTTGAAAGCTTAAAATTAGCAAATCGGATTAGGGCGTGTTCATTAATCACGCGAGCTAGTTTTTGAGGATTTTTGGACCCTCCCTCCCCCTTGGTGATACGTGGTGATATTCAAAATTACCCCCCCCCTCCCCCACCAAAACATCACGTGTATTTTTAGTTACGTGAAAAACTAAGATTTTTGATTCCTTTTTTGAAAATGTTTGATTTTTAAAAAAAAAATTAGTTAAAAAATAAATACACGTGATATCTTACCATACCCCCTCCCCCACGTGATATTTCGTGATTTTTTGTCAAACCCCCCCTCCCCCTAAAAACCTAACGTGATTAATGGACGCCCTCTTATATCGAAAGCGAACTTCTCTTTCGGGAAGTTAAAACCTGTATATATTATACTTATTTAGGGTGGTTGTTATTTTTTAATTAATTGAAGCAAAATTTAAGCAAGAGTGGGTTCAGATTGTGCTTCTATATTATTTAAATATTGTTGTAGGTAAAGTAGATGGAAAGAATTCAAGACCTACATCGAACACTAGTTCGCCAATGAGTTGGTCGAGTCCTGGTTCCAATTCAATTGGAAGTGCTGCTAGTGGTACTTTCATGACAACTAAACGTCTGCCACCGCTGCCAAGCTGCCAGTATGCTGCTCCGACACGGTACAGCAACAACCACGTAGGACTAACAAACCCAGCCGACCCGCTGTTACGATTAGTCAAGTGGCGCAGGTAATATGATAATTTTTGTGCTCATCGAATATTTTAGTCTCGAAGTCAGCAGACCAGCAATTATATATACTATTTTTCTTTACTTCTATTCCTGTTTATATGTTCAAAGTCAGAAACATATCGATGGTTTTCTGACGCAACCTCGTAACTCGATTTTTGACGATTTTGAGTTTTATTCCGAAAATCAATCACTAAATATAGACGCATAGATCTGTGAAGTTTTGTAAAAAAAAATCTACCGAACGTTTTTTATTGAGAAAAATACAATCACGTATCTCAATTCCAAAAAATGTGCCATGCGCAACCTCGTATCTCAGAATACATGGTGGCGTATATAAACAAGTTTCGCTGTCAGCAATGTTGTTTAGTTCAATCTTTCTGATAAAAATTATTATTCAATTAAGTTAATTGTTATTAAAACTTAATGAACGATAGTTAATAAATACATTTATTATTTACTTACCGCAAGTTATAGTAATTTTCCTAAAATTGAAAATGAAACTTTTTGCATATTTAACGCTTTAGAGGTTTCTGAATATCTTGACATACCTTAAAAAATGGATGTATGTGTTTGTGTGCGTGTGTGTTTGTGGATACAATTATCTGTCCACGTTTTCGGGAGCACGGATCAACCAATTTGAAACATTCAAAAAGCAATCGTTTCTTATTGAGAAAACAGAGCATCCGATTTAATTATTTAAAAACATTCAATTTTTATTGATGACGTGGTGATTAGTTTCTGGAAAAGACAGACCCAGTCGTTACAAAGCTTCCGATTCGAATGATTCAAAAAACATTTTGCAGTATAAAGAATCGATTAGTTTAGGAAAGCAGAATTTTTTTTGTCCATTTTTTTTTAATTTACAATTATTTCTTTGTTTAAATATGGAAAACGATTCGGCTTTTAATTTTTGCTAGCTAACATTCTAAAACTCTCTTATATACTTCAAATAAATAAATTTAAATTTGCAAATTAGTTTATATAATTATTAGAAATATGAGATATGTTTTTTTTTTACTTTTATTTACTTTTTATGTAAACATATATAAAAGTCGTTGTCCAATTTATTCTTATATTTTGTCATTCAAATGCGAATAACGAAAGTTACAGTATTAATAATAATCTATTTGAAATCATTTATTATTCCTTGATTCTATTTAATTACGGTACGGGAAGTTCCACCAATTTGCTTAAAGACACGATGCCATGCACCACTAGTTATATTTTTATTATGTTGAGAACAAATATCACAGTAAGCAACAAAAATTAAACAATTATGAATTCTTACTGACAATAAATTCTCACATGAAATTAAATTTTGTATATTTTTGAGTTAGATAATGTGTCATCCGCAGATAAAACATCATTAAATAAAGAAATAATAAAAGTAAAAAAGAATAAAAGTAACAATAAAAATGATAATCACAAAGTAGTAAATTATAAATCCATGAAAGAGCTAAATATCCTAGATATTGAAATACCTAAACTATGGCCAGATACTATATTGTCGTAATTATAAACTAACATATACCACAAGTTTAATAATGTTTGTTTTTTATTAAGAATTATTTAAAGAGTTGATCGATATTCAAAATAAAACGATTGAAAAAAGTTATTCATGTACTCTTATTTGAAAACAGCATGACGCAACCACGTATGTTCAAAGAATTGAAGAAAAAATAATGGTTAATTGTTTGTAATATCATACTTGTCTCAAATAATTGTCACAAGATTGAATATTTATAAAAATTTATAAAAAAAATTGTTAACAGCAGTTCAAAAATTCGTTATAAAACGTTTTTTGTCTCTCCTGAAAAGTTACAAAAATGTTGCTCTGGCTGGCACAATCCTGCAGCTCTATCCCTTACATAGACAAATAGATTTTATAATCTTTGTATAATAAAATCGAATTTTCGAATGAGAGTTTGGATGATCTCCCTATAAGCCAATTCAATTTTTTCACTTCTAGATCTATTTGTTTTCTCTTCATGGTAATGTACATTTTCCAGTTTAGTTTACTATCAATATGCATATCTAGGTATTTCATGGATTGATAACTTCATTAGACAGGTATAGAGCGGAGCACATAAGCAATTCAATTTTTTCACTTCTAGATCTATTTGTTTTCTCTTCATGGTAATGTGCATTTTCCAGTTTAGTTTACTATCAATATACATATCTAGGTATTTCATGGATTGATAACTTCATTAGACAGGTATAGAGCGGAGCACATAAGCTTTTTAATTTTTTGTTTTTGTTGTAAAATTTTCTCGAGTGGTATTAATAATGCATGTTAACGCACAATATGCTCTGAATTTTATAAATATTCAATTTATTATAGAATCTTTATTAATAGTAGATACTTTTAAATTAAGGAATAATTGTTTAAAAGAGTTGTAATTTAATAGTTTATTTGAGCACAAGTAATTCAGTTGGAATTTATCTACATATGTGTTATGTGTATGTATTATATATATATAGTGGCGATAGTTACGTTTTCGTTAAATTGGGTTTGGGTTTTATATCATGAATGAAAATTTGTATATATATTTGTATATATATATAATATATATATAATGCTTAATCTTTCAGCATAATATATTTATATCCTAATTTATATTATAGTTCAGATTTATATTGAACAATTTATAGAAATAAAAGAATTCGTTATTTGAGTAATAAATCAATCATATCACATAAATAATTTAACTCTATATAGAAGATTTATATTTTTTTAAATTTAATTTCATTTATTATACTTTTATAACAATATTAGGCTTATGAATAAAGTTTATCAATATTTATTATAATAAACAAATTAGAGGATAAAGCTAAATCACCTCTATAAATATAATGATTTTTCATATCATGGCCTTTAATGTAGTAAAATCCCTAGTATTAAGGTAATCATATTTTGTTACTATTTATTGCACTTCAACATTTATTATATCTTCAGGGTATTGTAATATCATGGACTATGCCAGACGAAACTCTCGATCAAGCTAAGATTGCCAGCTACCAAATATATGCATATCAAGAAGGGGACACTGCAACTAGTTCAGGCAATCTTTCATCAGATCTTTGGCGAAAAGTTGGAGATGTAAAAGCAATGGCTCTTCCTATGGCTTGCACACTTACACAGTTTACTCTTGGAAACAGGTTTGTTGTTTAGTAATATGTTTCATGAAAACATTTAGGTATGAGCTAGAATCTAGATACACATTTAAATACAAAAAAATTAAAACAATCAAATCAACTGCAAAATCGCTATCTATCTTTAGTCGCTAGTGATCTTCTAGTATTCTTAAGCTTCATATTTTTGTAAGGTAACTTACAAAAGTTTGCGAAATTTGAAATTATTATAACATGCCAAGATTTGGATAAATATTTAAGCGATGTGTAAGTGAAAAACATTTGTTTTGTACAGACAATGTGAATTACTCATTAGTTGTTGGGAAAGGCTGATGCAGTAGCAAAACATGGTAGTGGCATTACTGTACCTTGCCATAAAAAATATTTTAATATAACATTAGATTGAATATATTAATAACAAACTTTCAATGCTGTGTTATGTATTTTTCATAACAGTAAATAATTAGCGCTTGCAAAACTCTTTGTACAGAGACTCTTTTCATATTTATTTGCATGCTTATATTCAAGTATTTATAATTTTTATATCTGTATATTAGATACCCCTTTTTATACTCAACAAAATTAAACCTACCATATCCCGTCACTTTGATAATAATTATGTATATTGCGTTTTTTTAGTAGTAGTTCTAAAACTAGATCCGAGATGGGCAGAAATGTTCCAACCGTCCTTGGCGAAAAGTTTAATAAAAAATCACATTTAGTCTTGATAAACTAAAAGCCTTTTTTATTCAAAATTTATTCATTTAATTGTTTGCTTAAGCTTGCGCATGCCTGCACCTCTAAATCATATGTTTTAAATTCTAAAATATTGAAATTATAATTTCAGTGTGTTTATTTTGTTTTTCTATTTTTTGAAACCGTGATTTTAATTATATTTTAAGAATTTTGATTTTGTTAATTAACTATAACAAAAAACAACAGCTCAGTGGCGATAGTTACGTTTTCGTTAAATTGGGTTTGGGTTTTATATCATGAATGTAAATTTGTAAATCAAGTTCACTTTTTATAAAATCTCATTGTCAGTAATCATACATTTTGCAAAGTTTATACTGTAATGATGAGCCGATATACATCTACTTGCGTTATTAAAAAAAAACTCGTGGTGCTAAAAAGCTAACCCGCCTTCCCAAATAATTTACCAGTGCTTATTTGGACAATACCAGTAAAATGTTTTTTTGAATTATTTAAATCGCCAGAAATTGCAAATGCAAAATTTTGATTGACTGGGTGAACTGCCCTATAAAAACAAATTGTCAAAAAATAATTCAAATATGTATTTTTATTCCCGGCTCACAAGGAAGTGGAAACGAAACAAACATCAATATTGACACATATGCTTGCAATTTGCAATGTGCGTGAACCAAAAAATATAACTTATGATGTGAAAGTTAATAAACTCCTTAAATTTTTTTTACATAATTTATAATGGACATCTATATGCCAATTATAAATGTATCAGGCATTATTATTACTGAAATTTTTCTTCACTCTCATTTTGTTTAAAATGCATTAATTTTATATTTTTTCAGGTATCATTTTGCAGTTCGCGCAGTGGATGTTCATAGTCGTGTAGGAAACTTCAGTGTTCCAAAAAATATACAACTGAATGATATGGTGTAATTATAAAATAATCTTATTTATTATTATGAATTGTAAGAAAGGAAAATAATTGAAGTCATTATGAATTTTATTGACTTTTGATATACAAGGAATTAATATTATTGTAGTTTCACTCTTGCAACAGTCAAACAATTGCTTTTAACAAATTCAACAAAAATTAAACATATACCATGTAACTGACAATTTTATGCAAAAATTTAGTGGTATATATATATATATATATATATATATATATATATATACATGAGTTATTTTGATTTGGGCAGTAACACCAAGTAAAAAAAAACTAAAGCAGTTGTAAAAAAGCTTTATTTAATATTACGTTTCAGTCTTCGTCAATAAATATATATATATATATATATATATATATATTATATAAAATTATTTGAGTCTTGGATAACTTAATAATAATTGTGATTATAAATTATATGGTATATGATTTAGAATATTATTTTAAAGTGTCAATTCTAAATCATACATTTATTAATAAATAAGTTTAAATAATTTCATACAATAATTTTTACTGAAGAATTTTGTATTTCCAAGCAAATCCAATCACTGAACAAATTTTGATGAAAATAAATGAATTTCGCAAAGATTAAGTTGTTTTTGAATCTCGCGCTTTTAATTGTACAAATGGCTTTGTTGGACATTTTGATAACTTCATTGCCAATAACTTGAATTGTCAAAGAGATTTTTGTAAATAACACGTGCTCGCCTTAATTACGAGTTTTTAATTAAATCATTGATTAGATTCAATTAATTGTGCATCAAATTGTGTAAATAATTTAGTAGAACAATCTGATATAACAAATTCATCGCGAAATGTTTATGAAAAGTCAAATAAATGTGTGGAAGTGTTTAGCATGAACACGGGGTATTCTAATATTGTCTAGGGTTTAGGTGTACCTTGAATAGTCATAAGTATCTCTTTCAGGGAGCTCATTTCGAATTGATTTTATATCAATAAATAAACATTTTACTTACAGTCAATGTATCCTTTATTTATATATATGCAAATGTGAATTGTACAATTAATATGTGTATGTATATGCTTCTGTAGGTAATGCTTAAACACTTCCACCCCATATCAATTTATTATTGAATTTTAAGTTCACAAAAGTCTCTTTTTTATGTCGTGTATTGTGTATTTTGTAAAGACTTTACTCGTACGTTTGCAACATGTAGAATAGGCTTGTAACCGAATGATTTTGTAAAGAAGTGTTTTTGGGTCGAGTACTAGGAGTTTCTGGCAGTTGCTGCAGAAGTGGCTCAAGTATTGATTTAGTGTTCTGGCAGAAGCTGCAGAGGATATTCCGATTAATGTGAGTGCAAAGCATGTTTTATACAAAGCAAGTGAAAGAATATATTTTTTGAATTATATATAGGCATTTATCGTACTACATCTGATGCACTTATAGGATTTTAAATATTCAATATTTAACTATTATATATATATATATATATATATATATATATATATATAATTATTTGTAATTTTGAATTTGAGACAGTTACATCAACCAAAAATCAAAGAATGTTGAAAACCTATACTGTTCAAAATATAATTTTTTATAATCCTCAGTAAAGGGTCTGGGCGTGTTTCCATACAGAATTGGCCTCACCCTGATGGTATTTAAATGATTTTGAATTTTGAAAAATCAAAAAAGGTAATGAATTAAAATTAAAATACTTTTTATTGCCGACGTAAATATATGAAAAATATTGAAATCTTAAGTTTTTCATACATTGAAATATATTATTCATAAGCTTATACGACGAATAAAAATAATCGATAATAATAATTATAGTTTTATTCGGCGAGTTGGATTTTTTATTATGACTCATGAATATACTTATATACAAGATATAAAAGAATGGTTTTTAATAAATATTTCCATACTTATATACAGACTTTGTCGGGATTTATTTCTTTACCTCAGTGATAATGAGACAAGTCTTGATACATGTAGAAGAAATAATTTAGATCAAGTCTGATATAAACACCTTTATTAAGGGTTACCAATACTGTTAATAGTACCAACAAGTGTGATTTCCAGGTAACTATAAGTAATCTTTAAAAATATAAAAATAAGTAATTATATAACTATGTATATGAATTATACAATAAGAATGAATACTTAACTATACTTACTTAACTATAATTTGAAAAAGAAGACTGCAAGCTTTAAATTTGATTTCATCTTTAAAATATAAAATAAAATAACTACATGCATTTAGTTTCATACAGAATGGTCTGAATTAATATAATTTTTATAATTACATTGTATTTTATAGGATTAACTTTACTGTCAAAAACAAAAATGATATTATTATTACTATATTTCATATTATTATTACAGCCCAATCTTTTCTATTATAGGTGATTTAAAAAATTCATGACAACGTGAACAGGAGTATTTTAAGTTTAGTACGTCACAGTGAACCACCTCAACTGCAAGTAACTTACGAAGCACGGATAAGGAAGATGAAATATCTTAGCATGAATATTTTAGTGATGTAAAAAGCGAATTACCTATGTACGTTTAAGAAGCAGATGACAGTGTGAATGTTTAAAGACTAGTTTTAGTTATATATGATGCTTTTCACATTGGCTTTTGGTCAATTCAATTTAGTTGCTTGTAAATGGTATTTATAGAATGTTTCGTGAACCTTTTGAAACTGCCTACAACAGAAATTTTTATATATCTCATAGTGTTCAATACAATTAATACAAGTGCATTATTGAGATTTAAATGGACAATAATAATAAAATAAGAGTGCCATGTTCTGGCAATTAAAATTGTATATACAATTCTAATCGTAACATACTTATTTCTAAAATTATAACTTAGAATGTGTGAATGTGTGTTTTGATGCGTAATAAGTTTGATTTTAGAGGTAGTTAAATGTGGCTGTATAATATTATAATGTACTTAGTTATAAAATTTTAGTAATTACCCATTATATTTTTAGTTTTATACTTAAAATCCATATTTTCGTACATAAAATCCATATTTATTTTATAGTTTATAGATATATATTTACATTAAAATTATATTATAAAAGTATTGGAGTTTTTAATAACCGTTGTAATTGTAATTGTAATTATAAATTTTATGGTATATAATTTATATTATTTCCAGCTTGTTTTAAATAAAAATTTACATCAAAGATTTATTAATAAGCTAAAATAATTTCATAAAGCAATTTTATTTTTTTATGCAAATTTATACACTTTGAAAAATATACTTTATATAACAATACTTTTTATTTTGATGAATATAAATATTTCCAAAGAATAAACTTTCTGCTTGAATTTCGCGCTTTAAATTGTACAAGAGGTGACAGTCATTCTGACACATGTTGATAACTTCAATTCAATTGTCAAAGAAATTTTCGTGAATTAAGACGCGGTCGCGTTAATTATGATTTTTAATTAAATCCTTGATTAGTTTTAATTAATTTAAGTATCAAAACGTGTAATTAATTTAGTAGATCATTTTGATATAATAAATTTATCGTGAAACGTTAATTAAAAGCCAAAAAATGGATATGTGTATAAGTACCTAGGTGCACCTTGAATAGTTTGATAAGTATCTCTTTCAGGGCCTCCATTTTGAGTCAATTTTATAATTAAACAATTCATTTACAGCATCAGTGTATCCTTTATTTATATATATGCAATTATCAATAGTATAATTTATATATGTGCTTTTGTAGGTTATGCTTTAGTACTTTTACCACATATCTCTTTATTATCGAATTCTAAATTCACGAAAGTCTCTAATCTAAGTCGTGTGTCGTGTATTGTGTAAAGACTTTACTCGGACAATTGCAACAGGTCAAATTGACTTGTAAAAGACTAAAGTTATGTAGTGGTTCTAAAGTAGTGATTTTGTGTCGAGTACTTGAGATTTCTGGCAGATGCTCCAGAGGTGGTTCGCGTAATGAGTTAGTGCTCTGGGAGCTGCTGTAGAGGATATCGAACAATGTAAGTGCAAAGCATGTTTTATACAAAGCGAGTCAAAGAATATATTTCTGATATATACAGGCATTTATCATATTACATCTGATATGTAGTACTTTATATATATATATATATATATATATATATATATATATATATATATATATATATATAAAGCGAGAGGTTTTTCTTCAGATGGCGAAATAATATGATAAAATTGTTCTTGGGCATCCATCCAGTAATTAATAACAGTTTTATTGAAAGAAAATGTTTTGATTTATTTAATTTAATAAATTGGTTAGATTTATGCTTTTTTACATGTTTTTATTTATATTTTTCTGTGGATGGATCTAATCAAGACCCGAAACATATGTTTTCTTAATAAAAACATTTTCTTTCAATAAAACTGTTTTTAATTACTGGATGGATGCTCAAGAACAATTTTATCATATATACATATTTTTTGTAGTACTTTATTTTAAATATTCAATATTTAATTCTTATGTAAATATATATATATATATATATATATATATTTACATAAGAAAAAAAATATTGAATGTTTAAAATAAAGTACTACATATGCAGTATATATGCATTAAGTTTTTCTTATCTCTGAATTTAAAGCAGTAAAATAATTTTGAAAATGTTTACTTCATCACAATATTTTTTGTAATCCTAAGTGAAACTATAATTTTAATAGAAACAAATAAAAAGATATTACTCATAATTTATTTTCTGAAAGAGGTTTACAATTAATGACCGAGTTTTTTATTATATACTACTTTTGTGCTTGTAATGATAATATTTCTTATATAGTTATGTATTTGATGCTTGTTTTTCATATTAAATGAAATTAATTGAAAGATGCTTTGGGAACTTGTGCCTATCTTATCCGATATTATTTATAAAGCAGTCTGTATATATTTTAGTGAAATATTTTCTGGTTTGTCCATTATTAATATAGTCGTATACATATATCTGCTGAAAATATCGTTTATACTATTATATTTGAGTCAATATCATTTTCTTTAATAAGATTTACTTTATTAATTTTTAATTCATAAAATACAATATATTCTTTGTTTATTCAACTACAACTATTATGCTAATAAAAGATTTTAAATTAATTTAGCAGACATATGTATTAAAGACTATGTTCATATTCAATTTGCTATGGGGAAAACATGTTGATTCAGTTATATTAATTTACTTATGAATTAAAATTTATGAATGTTTTAAATCAATATAAAAGATAAAAGTTTGTACTTCTCGTATGTATCAAAGACATTGAAAGTAATTTATATTATTTATTTATATTATAATTCCATAATAATATTCCACCAAAGATTCCTTTGCTCTATAAATAACACTATGAACTGATTTTGTGTGGAATTCAGAATTCTTATATGTATATTGTTACCAAATTATTAGTTAACCAATACAGCTTTTTGTAAGCATCGATTACTCATTTGTTGAAGAGGCCCTAGCATTCTTCCTTAGGTAACTCCTAAATTGATGGTATTTTATTACAAATTACAAATTTACTTTGTTACAAAAATCTCTTTTTTTTGTGACACCTCTTGTTCATTATTCTTCGGAAACAATTTTTTAAATTACATTTCCAGTATCAAGAATCATGTGTTTTCCCTGTAGCGATATTGACTGCATGTACATTCTTATTTATGGATAACACGATTGTTGGTTTTGATCAAAATATTTCAAATAGTCAATACGACTTACCAAATTGTTAATTGAATGCAGCTTTTAAAAGTCTTTTACTGTAATTTTATTTGAAATTTATTCAATGATTTTTATTTTTATATTATTAAGAACAATTTTGATCAAGACTTGCAATCAAAGTTTCAAAGAGTTGACTTGAATGATTAGACAAAATATAGTTTTGTTTACAAGTTTATTATTCGATTCAAGTTGTAAAAATTATTTAACTCGATTTCTAAAGGATAACAATCAGCTTTAAACAGTTTTGAAGTTTTTAATGTTCAAGTTTTCGAACATTTTTCATTATTTCATTTTACAAGTTTTAATAAATTTCTTTTGTGGCTTTTTCTAATAATTTGTATATTATTCAAGTCAACTAAATTTGTTTTTGTCTCGATTAATTGTAAAGGTTTCACATGTTTTATCAAGTCGTATAAACAATTTTGATTCGATTAGTATCATTTCATTTCATCGATTAATTAAATAATTCTCTCGAATAATTTTTTTTTCTAAGTCCAAATTTTCTGATTATTATTCTTTCGAATAATTTTTTTTTTCTAAGTCCTTTTAGATATTTTTTTTTTCTAAGTCCAAATTTTCTGATTATAATTCTTTCGAATAATTTTTTTTTCTAAGTCCTTTCAGATAATTTTTTTTTCTAAGTCCAAATTTTCTGAAACCTTTTCAATTAAGACAGACGAGTTATTTATGCATGCTGTATTATCCCAAAGCCAACATTCGAATGAATGAGGCTCACATTGAATATTTCACAACGAGAAAATTTTATTGGGGCAAAGTTAAATATTTTAACTAAGTCCCAGTAATTTTTTCTCGTTGTGAAAATTTCAACGTGGACTTGATTTCATTCGAGTGTTGGCTTTGGGAATTGGTGTGAGGGAACACTAAAAAACATAAAAAAGTTTCAACGCTGAACAGAAAAGAGAAAAATTGACCTGGGACTTAGGGGGTTTTTTTTTAGGCTCCCACCTCCCCCTTCTCCTTCCTCCTCCTCCTCTTTCCCCTTTTTTCCCTTTTTTCCGCTTTTTTTCACGTTTTTTTTCCTTTTTTGGGTGTTTTTTTCGCATGTTGTGGTTTCTGGGTAGATTTTTGGGTTCGGCATGCATCTTTCGCAATGTGTCTCCCTGCGTGTAACCTCTCGCATCACGGACCTCAGGTTGACCATCACCTCGTGTGTTCGTTTCAGGACCCTTTGCGCCTGCCACCAGCCAGCCACCAGCACTGCTCCATTTTTTCTGCTTCATAGTTGGTCGTTGTTGCCTTCAGCTGGACTCGATCCTCCTCACCTTGTGCCTCCAGAGTGACTTCACCGAGTATGCGGTCACTTAAACCGCTCGGCTATTTGAGTTATTGATGATAATAGTTATTTTTATTCTCATATTGTATTAATATTGAATTTGAATAAAGCATATGTCTCATACACATCTCTCTTATTCATCATCTGCCTCTACCCTTCTCTTTCCCGCGGTTCTTCCTGTACCTTCGTCATCTCTCTCTTTATGCATCTCTCTTACAGTCAAGTGCGAAACTTGAGTTTTTTGTTTTTCAGAAATTTACTAAGTGTCAAGGTCGAAATGCGCCACCTGAATTTAACATTTTGAACTAATATTTGATAATTATGAAAAACTAGACACTTGATTTTTCAAGCCTCTACGAGGATTTGAACCAGGGAACATTGAGCAACCGTAGTGGTAACTTAACGATCTCGGCCAATTCGTTACACAGAACCTCTTTCTGATTTGTGAAAATATAAAGTCTTATTTATATTCGTAACCATTGCCAGGGCGATAGTCTTATTTTTAAATGAAAGATATAAATGTGCGAGTGGCCGAGGCTGTTAAGATACGGTTATTGATAGGGAGATGTGCTGATTAGTTTTTGGCAAATGCAGGTCCAGGAGCAAAGAATGCAGAAAATAGAAATCGAGTTTTTGAGATATGGATATAGATATCTTTTTAGATCCGATTTGAATGATCTAAAAAACATTCAGTTTGTAATGACGGGAGAAGTGGTGATTAGTTTTTGGCAAATGCAGGCGCAGCGGTTTCGGAGATACAGAGCTAAATGCATAAGCACCTGTGATAAGAACAAATATAGTTATAATAATAATAAAACTAGATGCTTTTTCCACAAACTTTTCGCAGAAAGTACAACTCCAATTGTGTACAATTGTTTTTAATATTATTCAAAATCAGAATCAGACAACAAAATTATATTACTTATAAATTCTTTTAACATTTTAAACTTTTACAGCAACAGGTCAAAAAATCCGTGGATGTCTTTAAATATTTGACAGGAACAAAACAGCAAAAACTTTGTTAAAAAGTCCGTGGATCCGTTTTGGCTTTATTAAATATTACAATGTAGGCATTAAAATAAATTAACGTGTTGAAAGTATATATATTCAACAACTATTAGAATTATGCCCTACTGTTTGCCAAAATATTTATGAATACATAAGCATAAACCACTTTGCATAAAATTTGAAATATAAAGCATTATTTGGTACTTACCTCAGTCATATTTTCATATAAAAAAAAACTTCAGCTTTAAATCCATCAGTTATGAAACTAAAATTCATTATAATGATAAGGACACAGGTCTTGAATATTGTTCTCATATTGTCTAGGAACACTCGTTCAAACAAGGCTCAGCACAGACTGTTCATTTATTCTAATTTAAACATAGTGTAAAATCAAAATATTTATAGACTGGTAACATAGTTTTCAGTTTCAACAAAATCTTTTTCCAAGAAAACGTACAGTCCGAATAGTAGTAATAGTCAAACACAATAAAGAATCATCAAATATTTTCAACAAGTAATTTGAGTCTTTTTTAAAGTAAACTTGTTATAAAAATGTGTGTTGATTTGAGGATTCAAACTGCAGCTCTGTTCGACAATGGCTCCTACGGCCTAAGAATCTTGACCACAATATGTGTTGCAAATTATCTCAAAAAAATACATACATTGGTACTTGCAAAAGGCAAGATATATATATATATATATATATATATATATATATATATATATATTAGGGTGGTCCTTAAAATGGTCATTTTCGAATTTCCTTGCTCCCAGGGGCTTAAATGGTTCCAAATAGATAAAAAACAATTCTCTGAGAGTTTTAGCTCTTAATATTAACGTTTAGATAGAGCGGAATTCAATCAAAGTTTGTATGGAAAGAGCATGAAAAAAATTTTGAAAATTTAAAAAAAATGTGCTAGGTATAACTTAGCGACTTAGCTAAAACTTTCAGAGAATTGTTTTTTATCTATTTGGAACCATTTGAGCCCCTGGGAGCAAGGAAATTCGAAAATGACCATTTTAAGGACCACCCTAATATATATGTATATATATATATATATATATATATATATATATATATATAAAATTGAGTAAATATTCAACTTTTATAAAATCTAATACAATGTTAAAATTTTCAATTCACTACATTTTCACCACATAACAAATGGAAAAAAATCACAAATTAAACTAAACGTGAAGGGTAATTGCATGATTCAAGAAGCCAAATTGTAGCAATTTCGATTTTGAAAAGCTCATTTTGATATCTCAATAATGGAATTGTTTTGGATAGGAAGATAAGTGTTGTGCTACTGAATAGATCTAGTCTACATATTCAATAATTTAAAATTAAAAACATTTATTTGAAACATTGACACCCCACAATCTGATAATTAAAAATGGAAAATTGGCATACCAAGAGTTTTATATCAAAATTACATGCATCCTTAATGCTTAAACCAAGGCAAGGAATATCGTAAATGTTGTAAGATAATGAATTTCTTTATTCCTTTTGATTTACAAAGCGCAATATACATAATAGAATTGGAAGTAATATGCAGCATTTATGTATATTGTGATATTCTTTTATGATACTGCTGCATTAGCGGCAATACTTGGATTATTCACTACTTCACCCAGACTTTCTAATAATTCCTTTCTATAGTCATCGAAATCTCCATCCACCTAAAATTATGAAAACATTATAAATGACAAACTAGTGCATGATATTATTAAATTCTCATATACATTCAAGTTAAAAAAAGAAATAAAAATATGACAGTTAAAAAGTATTATAAAGATGATTAATAATGTATTAAAAAAATATGACTATAGGGGATGATTTCCAGCAATTTAAAAATAGTTATAAATAATATATATTTACTAAAACCAATGAAAAACTTTTGAGAAATTTGAAATATCTACTGATTTTCATTATCAAGTCATCAAGTAACACCTATAAACCTTCTATATGATTTTTGTGCAAAAAAAGTATTAGATATAAAGTGTGCTAACTGACAGCACATCTTCGGATTCTATAATATTTAGGAGAAAATTTATTATTTAATAACAAACCTCATTTATCGTTCTATCTTCTATCACATATAAGGCACAATCGGTTTCTCTAATAAGTCTTTCGTCGTGCGTAACTACAATAACTCCGCCTTTATATCCATTTATGGCTTCTGCCAATGCATCAATTGATTCAATATCAAGGTTATTCGTAGGTTCATCCTAAAATTCAGATATTCAAATAAACAATGTTACATTCTCTAAAATTGCTAAATACATTTTTATTAAAATATCGTTATTTTAAATAAGGCTTTAATACTGTTTATCAATAATTTACATATGAAGAATTCACAAACAACTCATCAAATATTATATTTTTTATTTATTAACATCCAGAACAAAGAGTTAGTTTTCTCCAGAGAATCCAAATTGCTAATTTTATGTTTTCTGGAAGTTTCAAGCCACTCTGAATCGTTTGTGTATGTAAGCGTTTGTGTTTACGCAAAAATTTTAATCGACTTTGAAAATTTTAAATCCGTTCTAAAGATATCAGTTAAGAATTGTGTTGATTAGTTGTTAGTAAAAAACGGCTGGGCAGTTTCTTTGTAAACAATTTTTAAAATTTTTGAAATTTCATAATTTGAATCAAGATTATTTTTGATGAATAATTCAGATCAGAAATAGTCCAAGTCACTAACACTAACATCACTAACACAATCAATCAGTCTCCTTTTCCTAAAAAAAAAAAATCTTTTTCTATACGAAACCGAATATTACACAGAAATTAAACATTTTGATTGGAACTGGATGAAATCAAAATATCTGCTAATCCTTGCCAAAATCAGTTCAAAAATGCTTGTAAAATTGAAGTTTTTGACTTACATTACCCTTACTAATGGAAAATAAAACTAGTTGGTATTGGTATTTTGGCTTGAGGCAAGTTACATGAACTTCCCAATATGTGTAAAATAATCGAAGTAATCTATAAAAAATAAATTAATATATGAGTGATTAAAAGTATTCCGAGTGGATTTATTACACATAACTGAAAACAAATGCACATGTTAACACGGAGTATTTTCTAAAAACAAATTTTCAAAAATCAACCATTTTCATAATTGAACCAGTTTCCATAGGACTAATTGTTTTGTATGTTCATTAAAACCAAGTTCTCTATCGTTATACCAAGTAAATCGTTTAATTTATATTTTAACAAGCGTTAAAAAAACTAATCATTTTCTCATTTCATTGATAAATTTTTAAAATTAAACTACTTGTCGTAAGGCCATAATATTTCAGTAAGTGCTATAAGACCATAATATATATATCCCCAAAAAAAAGTTCCATAAAAATCGGCTTTATTTTTTTTTTCAACAGTTAATTACAAGAAAACGGTTCGGTAGAGTTTCACCTAAACCTAATCAGTATCATTCCCAACTAATATCTTTTGAACAGTGTTTGATGTTTTAAAATCGATTCGGTAGTATGAGCTTAAATGTGAACGAAAAGTTTAACCCAAATTACAAAACTGACAAACAATAGTCCACATCGAGGCGCATCGAATGGCTTTTAAATTTTTTAAATCGGTCTAGCCGTTTTTGAGACAATGTCGATTTACGGCAAAAATCTGTTATCTGTTTGCATATCTGTTATCTGTCTGCATATCTGTTTTATAGATTACTTCGATTATTTACACATATTGGGAAGTTCATGTAACTTGCCTCAAGGCAAAATACCAATACCACTAGTTTTATTTTCCATTAGTAAGTCAAAAACTTCAATTTTACAAGCATACTTGAACTGATTTTGGCAAGGATTAGCAGAAATTTTGATTTCATCCAGTCCCAATCAAAATGTTTAATTTCAAAAACACACACATGCTTTTTCCCAATTTCATCTCACTCGGTTCAGAATGGCTTGAAACGCCGAGAAAACATAAAATTAGCAAATCGGATTTTTTGATGAAAACAAACTTCTCATTTGGGAAGTTAATAAATCTTTCTTGGGGGTTGTTCTTTTTTTATTTTTCTTTGTTTCGGTTTTGAGATTTTTTGATATTATGAAAGATAAAAACCTTAGAATCATTTAAAAAAAAAAAAATCATCTCAATATCTATTTTTTTTGACAAAGTTATAGATATATATATATATATATATCTCTATACATATGATCCTCTGAAAGCGTTTTTTTATCGCTCCGCGAGCTATTGTATGCCAGATTCCTCTTTTTCATTATAATACCTCATGCACATGACCTTTTTAATGTGTCAGCATCTTTGAACACCATGGTGTATTTAGTACATTAAATTAAATGGTGTATTCAGTACATTATATTAAGAACTTTAAATACGTTTTTCTCAAATTGACTTTTTTCAATGCGGTGCCACAAATTAAACAAAAACTACAAGTCGGATCGACTTGCATTTTTTTTTAATTTGTTCACCACTGCAATACCTAGTCCCCCTACCTCAAACAACTTGATAACATTACGCAAAAAAAATTTGCGAAGCTTCTCGCCCCAAAAAAGGCCTTCTTTGACACTTTTTTTTTAAATAGCTGCTATTTTTTTCCTTCTTGCTTTTTTTCTTTCATTTTGATAGGGGGACTCGAAACAAACTTCTTCTTCAACGTAATTTCTTTTTTTTTTGTTTCGGGCGATGCGCAACGGATTTATCTGTGGCACCGCAAAAGAGATCGATTTTGCAAGACCGACTTTGGCGCCCCCTGGTTAAAAAATGACGGCGCAAAAAAAAAGAAGAAAATCACGTAATATTCTATGGTTTTGTGATTTTTGTTTAAAAAAAACCGCATGTCTCTATGATCAATACATTTCGAGAAAAAACAAAAACAAATACCTTGCATTTTTTGTAACAAAAAAAAAACAACTCCCTTAAGTAATCACAATCTTACCAAAATGAGAACATCGGGCGCATTAAGACATAATTCAGCTAATGCAACTCTAGCCTTCTGTCCTCCTGAGAGATCCTTCATGCATACAGTATGAGCACGAGAAATCAAACCGAAAGATCCGAGGGCTCGCCTTGCACGTTCATGTTGCAAATCAAACAGCCGTTGCAGGTACTCGGCCGGCGTTTCATCCGCAGTCAGGTGCTCACCAGAATGCTGGTCAAAACGACCGATGCGCTAAATGAATAAAATAATAAAGGATTAACAAAGGGTATGAGGCTTACAGAATCTGGTATTTAAATAATTTTGATGCCATTTTTTAGGTCTTTTCATTTGGCCAAAATATCAGTTAAAACTTGTGAAAGTGGCCCCTTTTTTCAAACTCACTTTTTGTCGGAAATATAAAATATATAAAAAAATAATAACGTGATTCTATTTACACTGATATTGTATATGTTGTTCATAACAATTAATGTAAAAAAATTATTTGTTAGTGCATGGAAAGGTAAAAATAATTTGGACTATTTTTAAATTAGCATCATTCGAAAGCCTGTGCATTTTTCTTTTGTTATTCAATATTTCATCTAAATTCAGATGAAACTTTGTGGTCAAAATTTGGAAAAATTTAAGCATATAATTTCGCTTTGCAAGAGCGACGAATATGCATAAAGCTCATCATCATCTCGACAAATTCTGTATATAGGGAAATATTTATTTAAAACCAAAAATCGTGTATATCTTGTATATAAGTATATTCATTAGTCATAATTGAAAATTCAACACGACGAATAAAAAAAAAACAATAATGATTATTATTGATTAACTTCCCGTAGGGCAAGTTATAGTAATCGCAAAAAAATCAAAAATGAAAATTTTTATATATCTTTACGTTTCAGAGGTTTCTGAACATTTTGGCATACCTTAGAAAAAAATGGATTTATGTGTGTATGTGTGTGTGTGTGTGTGTATGTGTGTATGTATGTATGTATGTATGTACGTGTGTGCATGTATGTGCGGATACAAATTTTCGACGACGATTTCGGGAACACGGATCAACCGATTTGAATAATTCAAAAAACATTCGATTCGTATTGATAAGGAGACGTGCTGATTAGTTTTTGGCGAAGGCAGGTCTAGCCGTTCCGAAGATACGGTGCAAAAAGTGCCGAAAACGGTAACTCAGTTTTTAAGAGAACGGAGCGTCCGATTTGAATAATTCAGAAAACATTTTACTTGTATTGACAAGATGAAGAATCGATAAAATTTTCATGAAGGTAGGTCTAGCGGTTTCGGAGATATGTAAAAAAATGAGCCATTTGGCGGTCAAAAATGATCATTAGACATATGCACATCAAATTATCAGATATTTTATAGAGATTTTAACAATAAGTATACATTTTGTTAACATTCTTATGGGTTCCGTACCAATGCTTAAGCGTTAGACAGCGACGCGGCGCTTACGCGCTTTATATTTTGTCCCTATGCAGTTAAAGCAGTACGATTAGTTCAGATCTTCCACAATATGTCAAAATAAAGAAAAATTTTTTTTTTCAAAAAAAAAGTAATTTTTTGTCCAATTTATAGTTTCTCAAAAATCTTATTTTTTCAAAGTAATTTTTTTTCAAAAATGTTAATCGTTTTTAAAAAATAATAATTTTTGGTACGGGAAGTTCCAGCAATTTGCCTTAAGGCACGATGCCTTAATTGCCTTAAGACAGAATTCCACTTACAGCTAGTTATTTTTATTCGCCATATGTTATTTCATATTGTTATCATGAAAGAAATAATTAATCAAAAAAATATATATCAGTATACAGTTTTCAATACAATTATATTAAATAGAGTTTTAAAAATATATTAAAGAAGATATCTCCGCAAGGAATTTATCTACACATATGTACGTAACACATAGAATGTCACAAATTATAATTATTATGGTTTTCCATGGGAAATAGGCAAAATAACAATTCTTTTTTGTGTTTTCTGTGCGATGTTTTTGAATTGGCTGAAATTGCATTAATTTTACATTTTAATGAAAATTTTATCATTATAAAATTAATAATATCAAAAAATTGCAAATATATTACAGTTAGTATTTATATATAAGAAAACTAAACTATTTATGTATAAGAAAACTATGGATAATGCAGAATTGTATAGTAGTTATAAAAAAATAGTTATAATAATGTTCCCCATTACCTGAAAAAAATAAAAGTTATTTTACCTGCTCCCCATGGAAAACCATAATAATTATAATTGACTATTAATTTCTATTATTATCAATTATTCATACCAGTCTATGGTTGCGTTTTACTTCTCCTCTGATTGGTGTGATGTCACCAGTCAATAACTTCAAGAATGTGGATTTGCCTACACCATTGGGCCCAACAATCGCCACTCGACTCGATAAATCTATTCCAAAATCTGCACCAACAAATAAAGGTTTTTGCCCCTCATATCCAAAATCTACATCTAGTAAGTAAAAACATTTGATTTGATTAATAATAATAATAAAATTTCCTTAAAAAAGATTAATAAATGCTAAATAAATGGAACAGAATTTTTAATCGAAAACGTCTTAATAGAATATATGTTTAATGTCATATGAAAAAAAGTTAAATATTTGTTATTTAAAAAAAATTTAGTTTTGATTTTTAAAGTATAATATTAATACTTTTAATAGTGAAGTAAGTAATTAGTATGCAGAATCAGTTGCAAAAAAACTGTAAATTTAAAATAATCACAATAAACATAATAAAAAATCTTGCAACTTACTGTAGAGTCCTAAAATGGGTGGTTGAAGAGGAGGAGGATCCGGAAAACTAAATTTGACAATATATTCTTTTGGTCGAGCAAGTAGTTCAGTAGGTCCATTGTCTTCTTCTGCTTTTTGTATTTTACTTCTATTCTTTTCCTGTTTACGTGTTAGAACTTCTTTTTGCTTCTTTTCCTAATAAAAAATAAATTCATAAATAAAATAAATTATAAAAATGGGTGAGTTCATGTAATATTAATACTTACTGCCTGCTTTTTAGAAGAACCATGTGATTTCAGCTCCTTTATGCGTTTTTCTTGTTTCTCATATTCTTTGATCATTTCTTTACGCTTCTGAGCATGCATTTTTTTGAACATTGAGTAATTTCCCTATCAAGAAAAAATATATTAATAAAATGAAATCATGAGAATACCTGTATAAACAGGATATTAAGGATTTAATTGATTTTATTTATTAATCATGTTTTATAACATTTTGTCCATTAATTCTTTCCAAATTTATACCATCTTCTACATATGATAATTTCAAATAAAAAAAACAAAAATTAGTTTTTAATATGAAGAAAAAAAATCTCTAAAGAGAGACAGTGAAAAATTACGATTTGAAAATAAAACCAAAATGAGACAATAAGATATAATTAACAATTGAAGGAATACTTCTTGTTTAATTTTGATATCTTAAAACTAAATTTACTATTGAATTTACTGTATTTTACCTATATTTAAATTTAATTAGCATTTGTTGATCATACTGACCTTATAATAAAACAGTTTTTGTTGATCAAGGTGTATGATCTCATTGCAGACATTATCAAGGAAAGATTGGTCATGAGAAACGACTAACAAAGTCTTCTTCCACCCCTGCAAATAACTGAATAAAATATTCTAATTATAAATTTAAACATTAAAATTGCATATAATGAATATAAAAATGTTAGCACCACTTACTTATCAAGCCAGATTACAGCATTTAAATCCAAATGATTTGTAGGTTCATCTAGTAAAAGCAAAGTGGGCTCCAAATATAAAGCTCTCGCCAATGAAACACGCATTCTCCAGCCTGGAAGTAAATTTAAAAAAAAAATGCATAAATCATACTTTGATTCCCAATGTGCATGCACTAATACTTCAATTATTCGATCTACAAAAATGATGAAATAAATAAAAAAAAACACATTTTATTAAGACTTTTTGATTAAAGGATTGATAAAACTTAAGACCAATTAATAGTTTGGGTTACTATTAAGTCAAGAAATATCATTTTGAAAGTGAATGCTTTTTGGTATATGCACGTCGTAATTTTTCAAGAATCACATTTGGATTTTTGCTTCAAAAGCTTGGCCTCTCAGGAATAAAAGCAAAAAATTTCCTGGCTTTGAGAAAAAAAGGTTTATTTTGGCAGATAAATTGCTAATGATTCAAATAACTGCAAAGTAATATTCTTATAAGACTAGGTCAGTATCTTATATAATAAAATCTTTTAACTACATAAACTTTTGATGTTTTTATAGTCAATGGAAAATTGTATTGATATCATTACCTCCTGAGAAATTTTTAGTTGCTCGATCCTGCATTTCTCTCGAAAATCCTAAACCAGCAAGAATCCTTCGTGCGCGAGGTTCAGCTGAATCGGCTCCTATCGCTTTGAGTTCTTCATAAACCTTAATACAAAAAATATTGGTAACTATTACTTGTAGTATTTTTTTACAACTAAATATGTAATTGACAAAGATATGTTAATTATTCTGGATACAGAATTCAAATTTGTTAGCTAAAGACAACTATAACCATTCATTTTAGTTTGTATTGGGAGTGTCTATATTGTTTAATTTTGTTTATATTTCAAGTTTTGTATTCATTGTTTAATTACAAACTAATGTTTATTACTTTTATGTTTCTGTGTACATACTATGCAAAACATAAACTATAATAAAACATGTATTTATAGTTTACAATTTGGTCGATTTAAAAAAAAAACTCAAGAATAAATATTACAAACCTCATTTAAACGGCCCTGTGCTTCAAGATCTCCAGCCTCCGTCCGTTTTTCTAGTTCACGGCATTCATTTAATAATGATGTCCGTTTAACATCAGCAAGCAAAACACTCTCGACTGCAGTTTTATCATCAGCCACAACCTCCTGCTCGCAATATAAAACATCGATATTAGGCGGAATTGCAAAGGCCCTCTCAGCTATATGGCGCAATAATGTCGTCTTACCGTGACTGTTGAAATAAGAATAATATTTAAATAAATGGTTAAGAGCATACACCGAAATATTCGCGATCCGAAAACTTGTAAGCATAACTTTGAAAAAAAAAGGGTGCATATGCATGCAAGCATATGTGCAATATTTACATGTTTAAGTTTGCATGTGTGCAACTTTTGGTTATCAATTCACAAAAAAATGACAGTTCATCTTTCATCAGGGCTTTGACCATTAATACAGCGGTACCCCGACTTACAAAAAATTTGAGATACAAGCTTTGAGCGAGCAAGAGTTTTCTAGAAAAATGTTAATGGAAAAATATAAATATAAAAAATTTCAACAGTTGTAACAATGATTTTTCTACTATGAAAACATTTTGGGTGATTTATGATAGTAAATTATTTTATAGTTTTTAATTGTTTTATTAAGTTTATTAAGTTTTTTACTATATATTAATATTAAGTGTGTAGTAACAATTAACCCAATTATATTCAGGATAAATTTAACATTTAAAATTTTAAGTATATATTAATAGTGATTATACAGTTATATATGTTGAGATCGCGTTTTTTGCCTTTTATACTCTTACAAAATATTATGTACTTTTATAACCAAGAATCTAATGAAAAAGGCCTTATCTCTTAAATTAAAGCATAATTCACCATAGATATACACTGTGTTTAAGCACAAATAGTTTATAAAGGGTGTAACTTCAACTAAAGGCCTTACAATAAATTATAAACAGGTTTCTGAGTTCTTAAAGTTTGTGGCTAAAAACAGTTTAAGCATGAGAGTTAACAAAACATGTCTAACTAATTTCTGAAGTAGCATAATTGATAGAACAAAACAATAAATAGATCAATAAACAAAAACTTAATTTCAATATTAAGAAAACTTAATTAACAAATTAATGGCATTTAATTGTATCTATGAGTTACAAGCGATTCGAAACTGGTTACGTAATGAATCAAACTTTTATGATGAGGTACCACTATATTTTGCATAAAAATTTTCACAGAATAATAATGTACATAAATTCTAGAATCAAAAGTTTAACATCATAATATAGCACTCACCCATTAGGACCAACTAGACCATATCTTCTACCATTTGCAATCAATAAGTTGGCATTAACAAACAAATCATTTCCTTTTGCTGATATTGAGAAATTTTCAATTTTAATATCCACAGCATTTTCCATTGCAAGTTTTTGGCCAACAGATTTCTCTACCTATGTCAAGAAGAATAACATAAATATATATATATTTTTCAACTTTTTGTAGAAACCCTCAGAAAACTATCAAAGCTGCATCAGAATTGCCACGTTGAATTAAAAAATTCAGTGCGCAAAGTTGTCAAATTGTTTTTTACTTTAATTACTATATAAATAAATGCATTCAAAATGATATTGAGTTCGTACAATAATACTTTCCACATGCGTATATGAATATTTTTTTCCACATAATTCAAATACCCTGCTATAAATATACTTATAGCCAAAATGTATAAAAGAATATTCAACACAAACTTGAAACATAATATATTTGAATACTATTATGACAGAATAACAAAAAAAAGTTACCTGTGAAACAGTAAAGTTGCTATCTAAGGTACTATGGCCTTGTCCACCCTTCTTAGTGAGAGATTCCATTTGCTTTTCATATTCCTGTTTCTTTTTCAACTTTTTCTTTTCTTTGTGGGTAAGTTTTTTAGAAGAACTTGTCTCATCGTTTGCAATTTCTTCATTATCAGACAGTTTATTCACTTTTGTATCAGACATTGTGAGCTCAGAAATCTGGAAAGAATACAAATATATATGCAGCAAACAAAAACATGCATGATAAATACTTATTACGCCAGGTTGATTCAAAATATAGAGAAATATGTTATATCAAGCATAAAATAGTTATGAATAGGTTAGTTTTCATTATAATTTCATAAAATATTTGAAAACTGAAATTTTTAATGAAAATTAAATAAATAGCAACGATTGAGGTTTAACACTTATAATTGTTTTGGTTTTTTCATCTAATTTTCATTCTTTATTATATTATTAAAATGATTTACATACATTTTAGCATAAAAGTTTTGAGCATTTTGACTCATTCATAAGGATAAAAGATATATTAGATTGAATAATGAAATTCTAAATGTATTCATTCAATTTTCATAAATAAGAGCAGAACTAGTGAGTGAGAGCTTATATTAAACTTATAAAAAGCATATTAGTTCAATTACTAAAATGTTTAGCACAACAATCAATTAATGCTAATATTACATTTTGTTGCACAACATTAAGACACTAGTGGATTCCCACCTTTTCATACCGCACTGTTCTACAAAAAAAGTAGTTGCACGCTCTTTTTTTTTTTTTTTTACAATTTAATTTCATAAAAACTCAACTGGTATTATAATTTAATGACCAGACTACAAATTAATGTGCAATATTATATTCATTTTTTTATATCATTTCATATTTTTTTGTTTATTTTCGAAAATAACCTTGCTCGCCCCTGAGGAGGTGCCTCAAAGTTTGGATACCTTTAGATGAGACCCTTTACTATATAAAAATTTCATATGTATTACCTGTTGTGATATATCTCCAGCATCATCAACCTTGCTCATTGTTTTTTCCTGTTTTTCATTAAGTTCTACTGTGTTTTTGCTGGACTTGACTTCACCCTCAGACTTGTTTATGCAAGTCTCTGCTTCATTCGGTTTTTCTAATTTGAGTATAAGCATATAATTAAAAAAAAATTATCTATATTATATTCACTATATATTAACCTTAATTTATCCATTTTAAGTGATATCTATATGCATTATACACATTATACATATTGTTAGTCATATACTATTCATTTTTTTCATCAAATTATAGATTCCCCAAGGTTGAAATGTGTGGCAATACATTTTTTTAGGATTCTTTGATTTTTATTTGATGTAACTTGAAGATTTTTACACATATCTCAACATCAAAATCAACATAAAAAAAGTTGAGATTATAAAAGTCACTGATAGGAATTGAACTTGAATCTTATTAATCATTTGCTATCAATATTTATAGAAGAAAATTAATGAATTTTTAATAATTATAAAACTATTATTTTTTATATTTAATATTAGCTAAAAGATTATAATATTTTAGCACATTTACTCAGGACATTCAACTCATTACCATGCAACTCATTACCCCCGCATAATACAATATAACACAGATTCGCTCTAACAAGGTTTAGGAACTGAGACCATCCCCCTCATAACACGGTACTTTTGAAGTACTTAAAGGGTTTTGCTATAACACGGTATGAGAATTAAGCAAAACCCTAATAAAATAAGAAATATAGTAAAACCTATGAAAATCAAACTTTATCTAATCTAAAATTAGTTAAATCGCTGTACAATATAGCTCAATAAATATGATAAAAAGAGTGCAAAAGATAAGTAATTTAAGATTTATTATTCGAGTACATACGATCTATTGAAAATAAATTCTAGGATATTCCAAACTATATAATTTCTTCAAAGATCCTTTAAATTAAATGAGTACAAAACTTTGATAAAGATATATTTGCATGTGTAAAATATATAAATATCATTTTGCTAAAAACAAGTAATCACAAATATTATTTTATGCAAAGGTAGTACAGAAAACTGCTCAGAAGATGAGGATATCTTGCTAAAAAATCGCATTGAGCAGCACTTAATTGTTAGTTATGACCAAAAAAATATGATATGATTCATGTAATGTATTTTAATTCTTAGAAACATTAATATGTATCATGCTTTTTTTTAATTCTGGAAACGTAATCCCTATTTTTGTACTAGTTCTTTATCCTGTATAACAGATTTTGCATAACACGCTAGTTTTTGAAACGTAAGAACCGTGTGATACAGGGTTCTGTGTATAATGCATAATACATGCATAATTTCTCATAATCCAGAAAAACTATGTCAAACTAATGTAATGTCTTTGATTGTGATGAAGTCTTGAGCCAGTAGTAATTTAGAAACATATTGCTAATAACAGTGTTTAAACTTGAAATATTATCACCTGCCAAATCTGTGGGCAATTGTTCATCAATGTCGGATAAATCTTCAGAATCTTCTTTTGGATCTGATAAATCATCTTCAATTTTCTTATTTTTTCCTATAAAACAAGTAGCAAAATAATATTTTCATATAATATGCATTTTTTAAAGAACCAATGCTAATTAATCTACCTTTTTTCTTAAGTACTGGTTTAGCAATCACGGGTTCCTCATCATCTGATGGCAACTTAAACTCTTGTTCAGCTTCGTCATCAGACCAATCGTCATTTTTTTTGGATTTCTTATTCTTTTTAGATTTATTGGGGGCTTTGTTACCACTTGTTATTGAATTTGCTTTTGATTTATCAACAGATGCTTCTTCCTCTGGTTTTGATTTTTCAGTGATCTTTTTATGGGATATTTCTTCATCACTGTCACCCCAACCACTGTCTTTTTTTGATTTACCTTTCGATTTTTTCGATTTAGCCGTGGAAGTTTTAGAGGTTATTTTAACATCTGCATTAGATGGAATTTCATCTTCTAATTCTTTAATATTTTTACTATTCTTTTTTCTTGACATTATTTGATTTTGACGATAATTCTTAATTATAACAGATATCAACACATATATTAACTTTGCAATTAAAATAAATAAAATAAAATACTTTGACGTGTTCCCAAAATGATAAATCGTAAAGGTAATGACAGGTAAAACAGCGTGGTAGATTGCTTAAATTGTGTCAGAGCGAGATCAGAACAAAGATCAAATGATGCGTGGATGCGTGTATGTTCTGAATTTAACTACTCTTGCTGGATGGAGCTACCATCCAACTTATACTTGTTATCTATGGGAGCTACTACCAGGGCCTCACAACAAAATCCGCGTTCAAAAGGGTTAATTAGTTAATTAGACCTGGATGTGGACAGTAGCGATGACATAATATAATTGTAATACCAAATTTAGTTTCAAGTACCGATTACTAAATTGCAATAATTTTTTTTTCAAATTTTGCGCCATTAATTGGAATGCCAAACGCAGCGCCTCACGTCTAAGTGTAGGATTCTTTAACTATCTTTCTGAACGCCATAGATAAAAAAGAGTGTAACGCCCGTTATTACAGCTGACAGTTTGACAGATCTCTGTGAAGTATGTCATATCAAATGTCAGTACTTTTCAACCATTTTTCAACCGACTCAACCTTTGCAGTTTTGGCTATTTGAAATAAAATTGAATAGAAAATGTAATAATATAATAATTAATAATTTGAATAATACATTATAGTGTTAGTTCTTTACATCGTCTGTCATTCTTAACGTATTTGCTCTACAAAATCGGTTTCACATTAGTCCTTATCTGTGACATTAGTATTTAAACCTTGCGTTACTTTAAGTGTTCTTGAAAAGTTTGATATACCAATCTAATATAGCGATCTTTAGTGGTTAAAATATTAAAAATGAGTTGTTGATTTACATTTTGAATAGATTTTTCAAATGAAAATCATACATAGCAAAAATGACTATAATAATAATAAATGTAATAAAAATCAAGTATTAATGTAAATTACTAACACATTCTATTTTTATTGGAATTATAGTGTTTTCAGCTTTTAATCAATGTATAAAATTTTGCAAAACTTTATTCAAAAGTAACATTAGCTTTCAGTTGCAAATCTAAATTTAAGCACGCTAACCAGTTCATCAAGTCATCATGCCTATATTTAAGGCATTGCACATCTATT